CGCAGGTTTTCTAATAATATTTTCTCAGCACCCTTCTTCGTATCTATAGCATAGTGCTTAGGCACTTTCAGAAACTGTTTCGCATTCGGAAAATTACCTTGGAATTTCTTCAAACTTGGCCACAAGTTTTCGTAGAACGAAGACTCATTTTGGAAAATGCTACTCACGAAATTCGAAGAAGTTTCTGTTCCACTAGCCAAGGCTTGTTTGATTACGAGATGTAGCTCTTCATTTGTTTTTCTGTTGGTCAGAGAAACGAATAGGAGATCACCCAAATAACCTTCACCTTTTTTGTTGCCTTCATGCACTTCGATCTGGTAATTAGTGAGGTCATCTCCGACAGAGGTTTCCAAGAATTCTCGAATGTCGACAGATATTTTGTCAGGCATTTTTTCAGCCTTATGCAATAATCACTTCGAGCAGACTGATAAAAAAGTAATGATTAGATCACCAGATAAATCATGTTTCATGCCTGTTCCTTATCATTGGCGATGATAATATGATTATTTAATTTTATTATGTTCATGAAGATAATACTATGAAAATATGGAGAAAATATATTTGTATATAATGTCGACTCATGACGCGAGGTCGTGAGTTGAAATCCCAGCAAGGGCAAGGAATTTTTTTGATATTTAGTAAACAAATTGAATAATGTCAAGTTTCAGACTCACTGTTGAGTTCCAATTAACAGTGCTGCACCATAGGTAATGTATGCAGTTAGTAACAAAGCCTGCACATAACATACAATTCAAAACACTTTGGGCCGCAGGACCCCAATGAAGGTCGATGGCAAGTTGATATGTACTGGCTATCCCAATGACTAAAAAACCGTTCATGTTCATTTGGGTTCGATTTCAGAGGAACCTGAATTGGCATTCGTTTCCTATATACAGGGAGAAGTTGAAAAAATGCGGATTTTGTTTCAATTTTCTCAGTAGGTACTTTATAGTGGGTAATAATGAAAAATTCAAATGTTCATTCATATATTATGATGCGAAGATTCCATTGGAATCATTCAACATTTCATTCAGGGTGACATTTCAGAGATACGCATGCAATTTTCTGAGGGGACACCCTGAATATTTTGGCACAGTTGGAGAGTCCTATGCATGTGTAATGTGACACTTTTCAACCCTCAATGACGTTAGTAATGAATGGTAATGACAACATTACATAATATATGGTTGTAAATAAACTTCAAACTCGTATGAGTCATCTGTCATTCCGTGCTTGTCAAACAATATTCCTACCAGTTTGTTACTTGAAAGTACGATTATGGAATAATGGAATATAAGAAGTTCCGTTTGAAAAACAAGAGTAAGGGTCGTTTTCGATAACCAGAAGTGATAGAACAAATATTGTCTTGTCACTGAATGAGAAATTTGACAAACTTGCTTCCGATCAACTTTCAAAACCCGATCTCGAATGAAAGTAACACCACTGGCCGTTTTTTGTGCCCTAAATAGAGCAAGTGATTCAGAGACCAGTTATCCACGGAGACTTAACGTAATTTTTTTTTCATCGGTAGGGCAAATGAGCCTATGATAGCTACCTTCTTATGACTCAGTTCATGCATGAAGCCTCTTCAGACACTTGCAGCTAATTTTCAGAAGCTTTTACTTCATTTTAATGGTTTTACAAAATTAAATCCAAATTGGTGCGTGTCGATTTAAGAAAACTGTCCTAATTTATTGTACTTCACTATCATTGTGAAATGAATATGACAGCTGTAGTCGATGTGTAAGGTAGAAATGCGAATCTATTTTGGTCTTCAAATTGTATCTAGGTGAATAGAACTAATGCTATTTGATCCAAAGTATCAATAAGTTCCTTTGCCTATGAGGGACCCCCAATTGCGTTCACGTGCATGTCACAATAATAGCGCTTGCGTCAACTATAGCAGTGCAAGCAATTTGTTTGCAAATTATGTGTTCGATTCCATTTTCTATGTTCCAGTTTTTTATGCATTCATCCATTCGTATGCAGCTAGAGTTGAGTATTTCATACAAAAAGATGTTGAATGTTGAAAATAAATCAAAATATGGGACCGTCATGGGCATATAATTTGCCGCTCTCGTTACCGAAGGGCGTAATAGTAGATTGTTTCATTAGGATCAAAAGTGACACTTCGTTTGGCAGGTGATTTTCGAATTTGCGAGACGGAGCGTCTAGCGGAGCCGAGCGAAAGCAAAATTTGCGAGTCAAACAATAAAGGCACTCTTGGACAGAATGGAACATACTTTTTATTCTGCAGCCGGAACAATCAACTCAAATGAATATGTGAAGTAATAACAACCACCAATGTGATTAACTTGATAGATAATTATAATACCTTTATCATAATAATATAAGGTAAGTAAATAGAAGCAAATCCTCAGACTACATTACTTTGTTACAATTTGTGTTGACATGCATTATGTCATCAGATACTAAAGGCGCGAATCCAATCTTATACCCTAAAGGTGGATGCTGTGTAATGATTATATGTATGCAATGCAATAAATATTCGGTGAGGTGAGAATATTCTACCTGCATTTCACCTTCATTCACAAATCAGGATTATTCAATTTTCAAGGATGTTCGAAATGTAGTTTCAACTTAAGCTCCTAGGAACTGAAAGTGTTCCCTAGCAACATACCTTTGTTTGTTTCAGTGATAGGAACGTCAATTCAAGAGCTTATTCTGATATTAAAATAGACGAATCTTTTGTCGGTTGCAAAAAAAAATTATATTTTCCAATTTTCCAGAAGAGCAGTTTCGAGATTCTGCGGTACAGTCAAACATCGATAGAACAATAGTTATACTATAATCGACTTCAATTTGGAACTTCTGCTTTGCACTAAGAAAATATTGATACATTTTCATGGGAAATAAATTAGTATCACGTAACATATAGCCGCCATTTCGGCAATCATAATCACTTACGCCTATTGGTACCAAATATATTCTCGAAATCACTTCGGTCTTTCAAGAGTGCCCTTAGAATGCATTTCATTCAACGTGATTTTCGAAATACATAATTGGATAAATACGATATTTCATCATTGAGTCTATCAAAATAACTAACAGATTACATTTCCTGTCGAACAAAAATGAACCAAAACTAATGGGATAGTTGCGATTATTGAAAATCCTTCAATAATATCAATTATTGACCTAATTGCAGTACACACCTCTCCGTCTGAGCCAAATCCATGGCATAGCGATTCATTTGCTGCTATTATTCCGGACATACTTTCGTCATATGATAACGAGTTAGAACAAGAAGCAAAGGAAAGGAGATGATGTCGCCTTTACGAATATCCAAACGTGCCGCGATTCAAACTGATCAAACTTAGTGGTAGAGCGTCAATACTTTCCAGAATATTTCGCCCTCCTCTAGAGATAATATCCGATGGACCAGTCTCAAACCCAACATGTGAATCAAAATACTTGAAGTGTCAGCACCACCATGAGTTTCATACTGATCTATCGTTTATTATCTTCCGACGAAGGCGAAACATTCACAGAAATATTGACGCTCTGCCACTAAATTATAGATCAATTTGATTCGCGGCACGTTTGGATATTCGCAAAAGGGACATTTTTTCGTTCCCTTTGCTTTTCGTTTCAACATCACATGATGGAAGTATGTGAGGTATAATAGGAGCAAATGAATCGCTGTGCCGTGAATTTCAGACTGAGGGGTGGCACAGATAAGTTTTTGAAATCTACCATTAAATTGGTTTAGGAAGGCAAAATTTTCATCTCGTCATCAAATCGAGAAATGAAGTGCAAATTTACCCACAGAAAAGCGATATTTTTCGATCATTCTGGTCAGGAAAGCAATTGGCGCCGGTGCCGTTCAATGAAATATAAAATGTTCTCACATTCATTTGGGACATATATCTTTTCGTTATTAGATGTCGGTTGAAATCTCATGCCGGCTCTCCTTCTATAATATAATAATAAAAAATTTGATAAGGGTTGCAGGCTGGAAATCCTCTTGGGTGATGAGTTGATCAACAATAACATTTCAACAAAATTTTTAGGCTTACATAATATTGAAAACAGCCTGCAATTCACTGAACATGTGAATAGCATTTGTAAGAAAGTTTCGTCAGGTTGCTTTGCCGTGAGAGTATCAGCCATGTATCAGCAGATGAACTAGGAACAGATGCTGCCAAAAGTGTGTATTTTTCACTGATAGATTCTCACCCACGATATGGTATCTGTTTTTACGGAACATGCTGCCAATATTTATTTGATTTGGTGTTTGTTTTACAAAAAAGAGGGGTTAGATATATGTGTAAGGCTAAATTTAGGGACTATTGCAGACCGTTATTCGTAAAGTACAATATTTTGACATTGCCTTGCATTTTTATTTTAGAGATGGTATGTTTGATGCAAAAAAATATACGAATGAAATTTTCGCTACGTCCCAAATCAATACAAGAAACATAATCAAGATACGTTTACCAATTCCAGTATCTTCAAAAGTAAAAAGTTCCTTCATTTACAATGGTAAGAAAATATTTAATCATCTGCCAAATGAGATTGAATGTATTACTAATGAAAAAAAAAATTAAAAAAATTGTGAAAAAGCTCCTGTTATCAAAAGCATATTACTCCATGGACGAATTCTCCGCAGATAGAAATGTTGACAATGGACTGCATAATGTTTTATTCAACTCGTAAAATTCTGTTTTATATTTATAATGTGACTGTGCATATCATATACATATTTATATATCTGCTCGATGTTATTGATTTTTCTTGTTTTTATCCTATTTTGTGTCACGTTATTTTACAAATTGACTGTGTTTATTCAATATTTATAAACCCAATGTCGTTACCACAATAGTTCATAGTTCCTTTCTCTGTGTATCCATTCCACTTTGAGTGATATTGATTTCGTCCTAGTTGAATGAAATTATGGTTGAAACAACCGATACTTCATCGAATACTATAAATTTCATCATTGGAAAATATTTTGTCGTTTTAAATAAGAATCATCTGAAATGAAAACATATATTCATGATAATTTTGTTTCATCATTCATGTTATACCTTTCATCTTTGAAACGTTTAGTGATTGATCAAATATAGAATAATAAATACACAAGTCACTCAAAATTCTTTAAGTTCACAAATATTCGTTTTTGTAAGCATGTAATACCAAGTTCCGTCCAATATTGAGAAATTCCTCCGATTGAGGCACGATATATTCATCTTTTCCAGTCTCATCATTGTCGATGAGTTCTGTGAGTACAGGCACTGATTCCAAATCTGAGTGCTTCCCAGAATTCACTAACAATGCCATAAGCAATCCAAATTTGCTATACTGTTTCCACTCGTCTTTGAAAACTTCGTAAGAATATATGGATTTCGGGTCCAAATTGTATCCTTCCAAAGACTCCGAGAGGCTTCGATGATAGATTTTGAGGTAATAGTCCAAATCGTCGATGGTTTCTTCAGAACAGCTAGCATAGATACAGTATGAAATGTCATACACTACTGTGCCAACTTGGGTCAATTGGAAATCAATGAATCTTAGATCTTCTATTTCATCCTTTTCCTGAAAAGATCACGTATAGTTTTTTTTATAACGAATATAGTTCAATAAATATGGCGAGAAGTAAGGATATTTTATCATAGATATCAATAAAATAGTATGTAAAAATATAAGTAGAAGTTATTAAAACTCAATGGAAATGAACAAATTCGAATATGGAATGAAATAAGTGAAGCTGCCTCGTCCTCATATATGGTAGATATCTTATGATTATGCCGTCTTGTACAGGGTGATTCACCATAAATGTCCCCCCCTCTAGCTCAGTTATTTTTAAATGATTTTTGCAAAAGTTTTTTTCCGCTACATTAGAATATACAGGGTGCTCGGAACAAACGATCTACAGGGTACTATTCGATTTTTTAAATGGAACACCCTATTTTCCATTGTATCTTTAGATTCTCCCTGAAGAGCTGATTTGATCAATGCATCACACTTGGGGTCTAGCAGGAATGATTACAGAGATATAGGGTGTTCAAAATCGAGAGTTTTCAACTTCTACTGATCTATCTACTGACATTTGATAATTGGAACAGATACAGGGTGATCAGAATTCTGAATCTTGAACCACCCTGTAAATGTTCCAATTAAATGTCAGTAGATAGTAAATCAGAAGTTGGGATATGGACATAGAAGCCATTTTGACCAATAATGAATAGTTTCGACACAAAAAAATCCTAAAGTTGACAAATCTGGATTTTGAACACCCTATATCTCTGTAATCGCTATACCCAAAGTGTGATGTATTGATGAAATCAGCTCTTCAGGAAGAATCTAAAAATACAATGGAATACAGGGTGTTTCATTTGGAAAAATCAAGTAGTACTCTGTAGATCGTTTGTTCCGAGCACCCTGTATTTTCTGATGCAACGGGAAATGAATTTTTGAAAAAGCATTTTAGTATATTTTTCAAATTTTCAAATCGGTTCAAAAATAAGTGAGCCAGAAGGGGGGACATTTATGATGAATCACCCTATACCTTTCAATCGCGTATATATAGTAAGTTTCAGAATCAATAATTTTTCAATAATAATATTCTTATCAGGTTATGGAGAAAAATTAGATTATGATTCCTCATTTCGTTCTTGATTAGATGACAATTCAAAAAAACTTGATTATTTTGGAAAAACAAACGAAAGATAACTATCTGAGATTACATACATACGCGGTACGGTGATCATGAGCTCTCATTATTCTGATTGATTTTTACACATGATACTGAAATTGATCGTCATGATTCAGATGATTTGATGAACATATACCGGGTGATCAAGATTCTGAATTCTGCACCACCCTGTATTTGTTTCAATTAAATGTTAGTAGATAGTTGATCAAAAGTTGAGATAGGGACATGTGAGCCGTTTTGACTAATAATGAATAGTTTCGACAAAAAAAATTCCTAAAGTTGAAAAATGTCGATTCTTCACACCCTATATCTCTGTAATCATTTCCGCTAGACCCCAAGTGTGATGCATCGATGAAATCAGCTCTTCAGAGAGAATCCTAAAATGCAATAAAATACAGGGTGTTCCTTTTAAAATAACAAAGTTGTTGCTACTTTTCGATAGAAGCGGCAACGCCGCAGAGCTGAAAATATTTTATATCGATAGACCAAAAGCAAGTACGTGAGTAACCAAAATTTCAGAATGATCCTATGTCCCGTTCTCCATAAACGTCTGACGTACCATCGACCGTGAGTTACCCTGTATATCATTTCGTTATCAGATGACGGTAGAAATCTGCAACAGGCACTCCTACTATAATTGATGGCATGCGAACGACGGGACTCAAAAGGAACATTTCCCACCGTTGGGCATACGAGGGGCGCATGCCAATTTTTGCCGGAGTGTTCTTGTTACTAAAACTCCAATTCTCCACATCGGCATGCAATTTTAAAACACGAAAGTCCCCTTCAATTTCATTCAGTTTCTCGTAACCCTTTTGAACCCTTTCGGCCGCTGCGGATCGCATTCCATCTATTAATAGCGCTTTAGGTTGTTTCAACGTATATTACAATGGCAGGCAGTATAATATCGCGGAAAACACGAAAATTCTTCACAAAAAGAAAAGCGCTTTTTCTTTTAAAGTGTACGCCGTGAGGTGGCCAGGAACCCGTCAATTGTTCATATTTTGGGGTTTATAATGAAGCCTTGGAAAGGCATGCAGTGTGAAATGGGAGAACGTCCTCTGTTACCATCTCCTCTGATTCTATGATAATATCCAGTGTATAAGCAAACCAGAACAAGTCAGTTCTAAACTGTCTTGTTCAGTTTATCCATGATATCGTTTAAATTAGTTTCAACTTTAGAGCGAATATTATTGTCTCACCATTAGCCCAATATTTGAATCTTGAATATGGAAATACTAGATTGTCCCAATATCTTATCAATTGTTTCATTTCAATATTCGATCATCAATCCAGTGCCGATGTTGTGGTAACAATGAAATTTTGTAACCAGCCGATAATAATTTGCCAAAATTCATTTGATATTGGTGAAATATTAACGATTACAATATGTCGATGTTCATGATGGGATGATATTGTATATCCAACATCGAATCATTCTTGGAAAAAAATATAGCATCAATATCCGATTTATGATGGTTAGTGAATATTGCATTTCATTGTCCAGCAATATCGCACTGATATTGAGTCTTTGCTGATATCCAACAATCAATCCAGTGCTAATGTTGTAATGACATTAGAATTTTGTGACCAGCCGATATCAATTTGCAAATATTTATTTGATATTGACGAAATATTAAATAATAAATTGTGTCAATTTTCATGATGGGTTGATATTGTATTTCCAATATCGAAGAATCAATCTTGGAAAAAAAAAGCATCAATATCAGATTTATGATGGTTAAATGGGTAAATATTACATTCCATTGTCCAGCAATATTGCACTGATATTGGCTATTCAATATAATTTCGATAAACAATATTCAATCTGGTGCCGATGATGTAATAACATAGGAATTCTGTTACTAGCCGATATATATTTGACAATACATAACGGATATTGGCGAAATATTAACGATTAAAATATGTAAATTCAGATATCGTATCAATCTTGGAAAAATAAATTGCATCAATATCAGATTCATGATGGTTAGTAAATATTGAATTCCATTGTCCAGCAATATTGTATTGATATTGGCTTTTTGATATCGATTTGATGTAATGAAATTGATATCACACCTATACCGTTTTAGAATTGATTTCAATATCGGATCACTATTATCAAAATAATATTCCTCCTATATTATGTTCGAGATGAATATTGCATGATATTCCCTACAAATATTATTCTCATATACGTATTTCTCATCATGCCAATATTAGTTTATCGATATAAGATCAATTTCAGTTGAATATAACCGATGAAATATGTCAGATCCAATATTGCACTGATATCGGTTTTTTTATATCAAATCGATATTGGTAATATTTATTTCGTTATCTGAGTGACCTCATAACAGGTAGTGCCACTAGCACGACTTCAACACATTATTGCTCAGAGAGATCAAATACATACAGAGAATGAATGAAAATGGGTCTGATTCATTATGCTGATGTATTCTTGTACCAATATCACAATTTTTTTATGAGGCGGATATGGCATCAAAGTTCGTAACGAAAGCGAAATACAATATTGATTGAATATTATAATTCAACATAGAGATAATATTGCGAAATGATCACATCCTAATTTCGGCCAATATAGTAAGCAAATATATGAATTTAATATCGAATTCACATTTGGGAATTAAATGAGAAACCGGTTTCTATGAGTTGGCATAATATCTTCGTCCAATCTTGTATACGAATAAAAACTCGATATTAGATAGAGCATATCGAAACAAAATATAAATTTAACATAGCACCGAAATTCCAGAATGTTCACGTTGATTTATTGGTCTTATATTTTAAATCAATATTTTCCCAACATGCACTCTTTATTGGTTCAATATTCAACCAATATTAGTGTTCTTTATGAAATAAAGTTGAAAGATCCAAACAAGTAAAGAATCGGTTGAGACGGAAACACTGTTCATCTCACTAAATAGTGAATTAACAATTTTGTCATAACTACCAATAGACGGTCGGCGTTATAGAACTTGTGACGTCAGTACTGCTGACGATTCTTGATCGTGTTCCAAAGGAGGTATTTGTTTAGGAAGTCTAGAAAAGTCTAGAAGGGATAAAAAATTCAAAAAACCCTCTGCGACTTCTCTCATTATGATTTCCGAGAAATTAGTGTTTTGCATATTCATTCCGGTTTGAGTTGAACATACTTCAATCAATACCTATGTCTCCCAATGAAAATCATATTCGGAAGTTGTTTTTGAGTCTCATCAGTTAGGCATAGGTGACTGAAACTCAGGTTTTCTACCTGAAAGTGAGATTCACTCTTATATAGGAAATAATTGGAGTGGAAATCTTACGTCAAATATGGCCAAAAAATCACTTAAACATCATGTGATGAATAAAATAGCGATAACGTCTTAGAAACCTCAGTGACTGTCTACCACAAAATGAATGCTACAGTTTTCTGGTTCATAGGTGTGTGTATTAGTCATTGAGACTTGGTCACCCTGTATATATGTGAGTGTGGGTGAGATCTTCATGGCAGGTAGGTCAGAAGAAATGATGAACTTTCATGACAGAACGTGATGATGATATGAGAAATATTCATTTGAAACTGTGATGTCGTATTCATTGAAACTTGATTATCCGCGTGTATAAAAGGAGATGTGAATGAGAATGAGGAACTTTCATGACGTAACCTCAAGATGATATAGAAAATAACCATTTGAAACTGTAATCGAAGAGGAAACAATGCTTACATCATACTTGAACATCATGTTGTTGCTCCAACAGTCTCCATGAACAAAAACACGATATTTTCCTTTATAATTCTTGACCTCACTGAAAATACCTGATGCTTTTTCGCCGTAAACCTTGAACTTCTCTATGATTTCTTTCTCGGTTTCCTCATTGAAACTAGACAAAACGTTCCGACAACACTGACAGAGAGCTCGTTGAAAAAAAGGCATTTCAGCAAAGACCTCGGGACACTCAAGCAAGCGGTCGGCTATTTCCTGGAAATGTTCTGGATTGATCTCACGAAGGGCCATGGAAATAGCATGGAACTGCCCGTAGCACCTCAGTACATACTCTAGTTGTTCTTTCGTGAAAAATTCGGTCTTCACATGGTTGCGGAATCCTTTATAACGCAGGTTTTCAAATGATATTTTCTCAGCTCCCTTCTTCGCTTCTATAGCATAGTACTTGGGTACTTTCAGAAACTGTTTCACATTGGGAAAACTTCCTTGAAATTTCTGCAAATTTGGCCACACCTGTTCGTAAAAGGTAAACTCTTTTTGGAAAATACTACTTATGAAATTTGAGGAAGCTCCTGTTCCACTTGCCAAAACTTGTTTGATACCAAGATGTAGCGCTTCATTCGTTTTTTTGTTGATCAGTGAAACGAATAGGAAATCACCCAAGAATCCTTCACCTTTTTTGTTGCCTTCATGAACTTCGATCTGGTAATTAGTAAGGTCATCTCCAACAGAGGTTTCTAGAAAGGCACGAATGTCGACTGGTATGTTGGTAGTCATTTTTCATTCAACGATCACTTCGAGCAGACTAATGGAATAGTAATGATTAGATCACTGATCATGTTTCATATCTGTTCCATTCTCCTCGGCGATAAAGATATTTAATTATTTAATAGTAGGTATGTTCCTATATAGATAATAATAGATAGTACAAGTAGTACTTAGAACTGCACTAAAAACGGCCAGTGCTGATGTCACTTCAGAAGCATATTCCATATCGGATTTTGAAAATTTGTGATGGCTACACTGAGAGAAAACTTGAGTTATCATAATTGGAAATCTGATAACCGTTATTACGATATCTGCAATAAATAGGGAACAGATGTGTTCATTTGCTACCATAGATGAAGTGAATTTTCAGGTGACTTGTAGTTATGGCAGCTTATTCAATTTGCAAACTTGTATAAAAATACCGCTGCTGAATAACAACTACTTGTTCTAGTTTCTATGATAACACAGAATGTCGAATAGAAATTATTCCCATAATATGTTGCAGTAACTCTCCACTCTACAGTGGTTAATTGGTTATTAGACTATCGACATAAAACAGCATGTTCTCGTTACTGGCACAACCATCTTGAGGTAACGCAGTCATACGTCTCATTTTATTATAGTTATCTGATATCTGCATGAAACCTGACATTTTGACATGCTATTGTGATATAGCTCATTTTCAACAGTTATCCCAATATTTTTCTACTCTAGTATATTCATCAAACAGTGGTAATAAGGTTATCTGATCAACATTATTATGAAACCGTGCTTTGAATTACTGCAATGAAATTAAATATCCTATCCAAACTATCACTTTTCATGATCCAAAGTTACTGTTTTCAAAAAAACAAAAAAATACGTTTAGTCTCTGAATTGAAATATTTGGGTATCTGTCGAAGTTTTTTGACATTACTCATTGTTTTTTTCGGAGAAATATCATCTATATGCATTACTGACGAATTTATTAGGAAATGAGAAGTTGAATACTTATATTTACCCTTCCTTCGGAGTTATGATGAGAATTGTCAATAAAACTTTCCTCACAGAAACCCAGATATTTTGATTCAGAATCTGATCGATCATTTTGTTTTCGAAATAAACCAATTTTAGGTCGTGAAAAGTGGGTATGGAGAATACTTGTTTCATTGCAATAATGCAATGCACGGTGTATTCCACAGATCGGTTCACAGCCAGCACTAAAACAAAACTTTGCTACATCACACAAATTCACCTACAAGACACGGCTCTATCGATTCGGACGATCGAAACCATTTAGTCGGGGCTAAATTCCAAAAAATGCCCTCCTTTACAATCCTAGAAGCATTTCATGTAACAATTGGATAAATGCTGTTAACCCCCTATTTTGACCCCGCTGAATCCGAAAATACCGTTTATCAAGTCGAAATTCCAACCGGAAGTGAGATATTCAAGATGGTGTCCAGAATACCCCTAAAATCAAATTATTTTCTACTTTCGGTCAGCTATACGATTGAGGTGTCGATGTCTATGTTTTCGGGGGTGTAGAATACGATGAGACACTCAAAAAATGATTTGGAGCTTTGAAAGTTCATCGAATGATCAAATTTTGACGAAATGGGCCAAAATTCCAAAGAACTTGTGAAAACGTGTTGTATAATGTACATGCTTGTATACGTTTTCGAGGGTGCTCGATACGTTTATGAGCCAAAAAAGCATTTGAACATTGTCCAAGCCTTCATTTCTTATATTTTGAAAAAGAAAAGTTCACTATTAGTAGTCTTCCTCATCTTTTCTGCTCCATTCGGCTCCCTGTAGCCACACTGCTTCGTGCCGCAGTGGCCGCAGAGCCCCATGCAGCCACAAGCTCCAAATTCGGGACATGACTTGGGAATAGGTAGCAAAGTCATCAAGATTGGGACTTACCGTCCATCACCAATTTTCCAGCCGCAATTAATCGGGTCTGGTGAATCAAGATACTGATCATGGGCGTTAAACCACACACTAGTACCTAAAAAGAAAACAGACTAAAATTAAAATCCCTCGATTTTTTCTATTTTCTTTTTCTTCATGTTAATTTTATCTGGAAGTGGCATCGAAGAATGTGTTGATGGATGGCATCAGTGGTAGATGGCAAAAATCATTCGCACTGTCCCAAAAATTGCAACACGGGCTGCGTCTGCCGTTGTAATGTCCGGTCCAACTTGAGATGAAAATGATATTAGTATAAGTGATAGATGAATAATGAAATCACACTAGTGTCTTTAACAGAAACAACAACAGCCTCTCTTTCGGTTTTTACGCATGGGGTATATTCCAATTCACGAACTATGTAAGAAACTTGCACCACAACAGATAAAAAACCTGATGGCTTTCCACGCAATCACTGGATGTGATACTACATTTAAGTTAGCGTCAGTCACAAAAACAGAACGGTGGAAGCAAGTACATAGAAGAAAACTACTGTAAACTCCTCGGTCAGCTTGTAAAAACTCCCGATCTAGCCCCCGATGAACTCCGTTTGGTTGAACAGTTTGTGGTGCAAGCTTTATACAAGGTTTGTTGCGTCCCTTTTCTGAGACACATGGTGAATAAGAACTATTAGCCGTTTCGATACTACTGCCATTTTTATTTTGAGTTGGACCGGACATTACAACGGCAGACGCAGCCCATGTTGCAATTTTTTGGACAGTGCGAATGCTTTTCGCCATCTACCACTGATGCCCTCCGTCAACACATTCTCCGGTGCTACTTCCAGGTAAAAGAAAATTGAACAAATCGAAGGATGTTAATGTTATTTTCAGATACTAGTGTGGATTAAGGCCCATGATCAGTAGTATCCTGATTTATAAGACCCGAATAATTACGGCTGGAAAATTGTTGATGGACGATATGTCCCAATCCTGATGACTTTGTCACCTATTCCCAATTCATTTTCCGAATTTGAAACTCGTGGCTGCAAGGGGCTCTCTCAAAATATAAGAAATGAAGGCTTGGACAATGTTCAAATGCTTTTTTGGCTCATAAACTTATTGAGCACCCTCGAAAGCGTATGCAAGCATATACATTATGCAACACGTTTTCACAAGTTCTTTGGAATTTTGGTCTATTTCGTCAAAATTTGATCATTCGATGAACTTTCAATGCTCCAAATCATTTTTTGAGTGTCTCATCGTATTTTACACCCCCGAAAACATAGACATCGACACCTCAATCGTATAGCTGACCGAAAGTAGAAAATAATTAGATTTTAGGGGTATTTTGGACGCCATCTTGAATATCTCACTTCCGGTTGGAATTTCGACTTGATAAACGGTATTTTCGGATTCAGCGGGGTCGAAATAGGGGGTTAACGTCATTTATCCAATTGTTACATGAAATGCTTCTAGGATTTGGCTTTTCGCAAAACAAGCCCCGACTAAATTATTTGCCAATGATATAGTATTCCCAAGAACTCATTATACAACCTTCAGAACTTGAAATTTTAGCTCTCCTTGGATCGCACGATTTTTTCCAAACGAAAACACACAAAAATAAAACTCGACAAGTCAGTTTAAAATTGGATTCTATTTCAATTGGTGAATCTTGTATTATTTATCAGCGAAATAATGAATAATAAATATTGATGGGAAAATTCGGAACTCATATGAAATAGATCGAATTCCATATTCAGTTTTATTCAAAATCACAAATAATTATTCACGTATGCATGCAATACCAAGGTTCTAGCAATCTCTTCCGACGGAAACGAGAATGAATCAGTGGTATTCTCATCGTTTTCTCGATTCTCCTCTTCATCTATCAAATCCGTTAGTAATGGCATAGATTCCAAGTCAATGTTCTTCCCTGAATTACAAAGTATCCCCATGATAACTCCAAATTTACTGTACTGTTTCCACTCTCGAATGAAATCATCGTAAGGATATAGCAAATCTGGATCCAATTTATATCCTCTCAAAGATTCCGAGAGACTCTGGTGGTAAACTCTGAGGTAATGGTCTAGATCGTCCAGGATTTCTTTGGAAAAACTGGCGTAGATACAGTATGAGAGGTCGAATACAACTGTTCCAAGTTTGGTGAATTGGAAATCGATGAATCTGATGTCTTCAATGTTATCTGAATCCTAAAAATATACATAGGTATACACATTACTTGTTATTCATTCGACAACATCAAGTTGTGATCAATGATTATTGATATTGAACCTTCAGTGGAACACAATCATGAACTGAATAATTCATCGTGATACTCCATATTGATCATTTTGAACAAAATCCCATCAAGTCAAATGAATTCGCTGTGTCAACTGGTCCTTAATTAATAATTCAACTTGAAACTAACTGATAGAGTGATATAGTTTGAGGGTCTAGTTTCACATTCGATTGTAAATATACAGGAAGGAATCAAAATCAGTGGATACCAAGGTTCTAGGTTATCTACAGACAACATTTTTGGGTTGATTTGAGTAAGTGAATACTAATTTTGTGTGAGAAGCATTTTTTTCTTGATACCTCACGCAGGACTGCTGCTTTCTCTGTTGTTTCCATGCGAAATCATGGACACAGTATACCAACTAGTCATGGGAGCGTGAAAATGTTACGAAAATGAATCAGATTGAAATTATAAAATCATCAACAATATAATGATCAACATGAACATCAAAGTATGATAAAGAACGAGCTTCACTCTGAGTGTAGAAGTTTTTTCTGTCATGTTCTGGTTCCCACTAGAAGGGATATCCCGTAATGTTTAGAGAAAATCGTGGGAACCAAGGAAAATAAGGTAGGCATTGGTGTGCTTCTTATTATGTGTGTTAACTTTATGATGACGTCACGGAAATTTTATTATGACGTCACGGTTCACTTGTGAAGCTTGTTAGATGTCAGTTTATCAGCTGGCTTTGTTTATTGTTCGGTTTCAGTAGTAGCTAATACTAATCAATAGAGAATAAAATCCATCAATTTATCATCTGTAACAAGAATATTGTTACGACCCTGGCAATCGATCCCAGCTACCTGGGGAATGTAAACAAGCCATATTTCTTGGAATAGTAATTAGGTGATTCGACGGCTATTGAGATGACTCGAGAAGATTATCGACCTGTTCACGATATTTCGAGTGGAATCTAGACGTTTTATTAGGTAGTATAAATAGTTGTTGTTAGGGACAGGAAGGGAAGTCTTTATTTGGAAGCGTTATAATAACGATCGAAGAAGTGTTGTGAATCGGAAGTATTTAGTACGAGTATTGTAATTATTGTATAGTAGTGTTCAGAATAAATTATTTTAAGTGTTATACCGAGTGTTAAGTTATTACGGACCCAGAGTAAAATCGTAACAGTGGTGTCAGAAGTGTGGATTTTCGAGGACATTTGAATACGTATGGTGAATACAAGGAGTACGTCATACGACACGATGGAAGACATTATAAAATTCATGAAAAATCAGTTCGCAGAACTAGAGAAACGACGACAGGAAGATGAGAAACGACGACAGGAAGAAAAACTAGAAGAAGAAAAACGTCGTCAAGAAGAGTTACAGAAAATTCTAGAACATCAAGAAAAAGAACGAGAGCATCAGAAAATCTTCTTCGAACAAATTCTGCATAAAACTGATAAGCAAATGGATGAGTTAAAGACAGATGTCACCAGAATTGATGACAAGCTTAACCAGGAAGTTTCAAGAATAGATTCCATGCTCGATGCAATCGAAAGAAATGTAGCGAATCAGATCACCTCGCTACGAAGTCAAGATCGCCGTGACAGAGTTGCCACATCGGGTTCTTCCGTGAAACCACCAACTTTTGATGGACAGTCGCCTTGGTCTATGTATCGCCGACAATTTGAGGCTGCAGCAAGTGCAAATGGGTGGAGTGACGAGGAAAAAGCTACTGCACTCATAGTAGCTCTGAGAGGACCAGCTTTGGGGATGTTACAGTCGATCCCAGTTGAACAACAAAACCACTTCGGAGATTTAGTGGCTGCGCTAGAACTCAGGTATGGTGACCAACATCGAGAACAGCTTTACCGGGCTCAGATGAAAAATCGTGTGCAGAAGTCTGGAGAGAGCCTACAGGAGTTCGAAGCAGATGTGAGAAGACTGACTCAATTAGCCTACCCAGAGGCACCAGAGGACTTCAAAGAACAACTGGCGGTGCAGGTATTCATCGACGGGCTGAGAGACTCAGAAATACAGAAGACTCTGAGGCTTACACACTTTAAGAGGAGTAGTGAAGCCCTAGTAAGATCTCTGGAGGTAGAAGCGGCCTTCAACACCTCTAAGCCAAGAGTGAGAGCTGTGTCTATCGAGGAGCCTTCCGAAGACGTGGACCCAGTGGCGAAAATGTTGAGAAAAGTGCTTGAGGAACTCAAAGAAATTAAGAGTGGGTCTAGTAACCAGCGAAATAGATCCTACTATCGCTGTGGCAGAACTGGACACCTGATAAGGGACTGTAAGGTGAGAGTACCACCACGATCTTCTTCACCTGCAAGGACGCCATCACGGTCGTACTCACCTGCGAGGACTAGGTCATCTAGTGAGTCCTCAGATAGATACCAGGAAAACTAGAACTAGCCAGCGTATCGGGGCGCATGCTGGCTAGTAATAACGAAGCCCCCAGGGTCATTAACATCAAAAGGATAAGAAGAACAACTGATAGCCTGACCATCAAAGGAAAAATCAACCAAATGGATGTAACCTGCACCATAGATACCGGTGCATCAGTTTCTCTGGTACGCAGTGACATTCTCCGGCCTGGAAGTATAAAACCAACCACTTCCAACTTTGTTCTTCGTACGGTCACTGGAGAAAATGCACCAATACGAGGGATGGCTGATATTGAGTTGACGCTTGGAAGACTCCATATAATGAACATGGTATACGTCGCAGATATCGAAGATGAGTTTATCCTCGGCATGGATCTGATAAGTGACTACGGGTTTTCATTCGACAGTGATCAGAAGACCATGAAATTTGGAGGAGAAGAGTTTGTACTAACGACACCGGCCGAGAGGGAGACGTCTGTGAGGCTACGACTAGCGAAGACTGTGAGAATTCCTGGATTCACTGAGAAGATCATCCATGCGCGATTAGAAGAGGACCCTGGGTGCTGCGTTGGATTAGTACAGTCATGTGAGGAATCCCCCAGCAAGCTGTTACTTGCCCGAGCTTTAGTGACCATCAAACGAGACATTCCTGTGAGGGTAGCAAATGTTTTACCTACCACCATAACAGTAAGGGAAGGAGATATTATCGGAGCTTGTGAACCAGTCAGTTGGGTAGCAAAATGTGATAAGACTAACGAGCAGAGATGGAGGGAACGAGATGACAGTGCATTGAAAGTTCTGGAAACCTCCTTGGACCACTTATCACCAACAGAATATAAAGCTGCCAAGAAATTCATAGCAGACGAAAGTGATATCTTTGAATCAACATCAACAGGGCGGACGAACTTGGTCAAGCACAGAATAGATACTGGTAAAGCTCACCCAATTCGGCAACCACTAAGAAGAATGCCATTTGCTAAGCAACAGGAGGTGGAACAGCTGGTTGACAAAATGATGAAAGATGGGGTAATTGAAGAATCATCCAGCCCTTGGTCTGCACCGGTTGTATTAGTGTCCAAGAAGGATGGATCCACAAGATTCTGTGTGGATTATAGGAAGCTCAATGACGTCACCAAGAAGGATAGCTACCCGTTACCAAGGATTGATGACACTTTGACTACATTGGCTGGCTCCCGATGGTTTTCGACACTGGACTTGAAGAGCGGATACTGGCAAGTGGGCATTCACGAAGAAGATAAGGAGAAGACTGCTTTTACGACTGGTAATGGACTGTACCAGTTTAATGTGATGCCTTTTGGACTATGTAATGCCCCAGCAACCTTCGAAAGGCTGATGGAATTGGTACTGCGTGGGCTCACTTGGAAAACTTGCCTGGTATATCTGGACGATGTTTTGGTCATGGGAAAGAATTTCGAGGAACACCTGAAGAACTTACGGGAAGTGTTCCAGCGATTCAGGAATGCCAACCTCAAACTGAACCTGAAGAAATGTTCACTATTCCAGAAACGAGTAGATTTCTTGGGCCACACGGTAACGTCAGAAGGAATACAAACTGACGAGACAAAGATTCAAGCCATTCGAGACTGGCCAAGACCGAAGGACAAACATGAAGTTAGAAGTTTCTTGGGATTGTGCACTTACTACCGTCGTTTTGTGGAAGGATTTGCTGATATTGCGGCACCACTCCATAGATTGACAGAAGATCGAGTCAACTTCAACTGGTCTGTAGAATGTGAGAAATCCTTCAAGAAATTGAAGGCTGGCCTCTGTTCGAGTCCTATTTTGGGGTTCCCACAAGAGAGAGGCTTGTTTATTTTGGACACAGACGCGAGTAACATCGGAATGGGAGCCGTGCTATCACAAGTACAGGATGATCAAGAAAAGGTTATAGAATACTACAGCAAAGTGATGGCCAAACCAGAAAGGAATTATTGTGTCACCAGGAAAGAACTGCTGGCAATTGTTAAGGCTGTTGACCATTTCCACAAATACTTATACGGGAGAGAATTTCTCATTAGGACGGATCATGCAGCTTTGAGGTGGCTGATGGAGATGAAGAATCCTGAAGGTCAAATAGCAAGATGGCTGGAAAAGCTGAACCAGTATCACTTCAAGATTAAGCATCGCCCAGGAAAACTACACCAGAATGCAGATGCCATGTCCAGAAGACCTTGTTCAGAAACCTGTAAGCATTGTCTGCACATTGAACATCGAGAAGGAACCGCTGATGTTAGAAAAACCAGACTTGTGACCGATGATAAGTGGACAGCAGCACACATGAGACGAGATCAGGAGAACGATCCGAATATCGCCGATTTTCTACGTTGGAAAGAAAGAGGAACAGAAAGACCAACATGGAAGGATATCTCGGATAGAGGGCCTGCTTTCAAGGCGATGTGGGCACAATGGGACTCACTAGTTGTGGAGAATGGATTATTGAAGCGAGTTTGGGAATCAGCTGATGGTAGATCAACAATTTCTCAGCTGGTTGTGCCCCACATCAGAGTTAATGAAGTTCTGGAAGAAGTCCATGGCGGAAAATCTGGTGGACATTTTGGAGTTAACAAGACATTGAGTAAAATTCGAGAAAGATTTTACTGGGTTCAATGTCGGGACGACGTGGAAAGTTGGTGTAGAAGATGTCCTGTATGCGAAGCCAGTAAAGGTCCCAGAACGAGATCAAGAGCTGGAATGAAGCAATACAATGTGGGTGCACCGTTTGAAAGGATCGCCATCGATGTAGCCGGACCATTCCCTTTGACTGATGATGGAAATAAATACATCTTGGTTGCTATGGACTACTTCAGTAAGTGGGTAGAAGCATACGGCATGCCAAACCAAGAAGCCTCCACAGTTGCCAGGATATTGGTAGACAACATGTTTTCACGGTTCGGGGTACCAATGGAGTTACATTCTGATCAAGGGAGAAATTTCGAGTCGAACTTATTCAAAAAGGTCTGTGATCTAATGGGAATCAGTAAGACCAGAACAACTCCACTACATCCACAATCCGATGGCATGGTCGAAAGATTCAACCGAACTATGGAAGAACATCTCTCCAAAGTAGTCGAAGAGCATCAGAGGGACTGGGACAGGCATCTTCCCTTATTCCTGATGGCGTATAGAGCAGCTGTCCATGATTCAACGAAGCTAACTCCAGCTAGTATAGTCTTTGGAAGAGAACTCCGCTTACCTTGTGACTTGGTGTTCGGTTCACCAAGTGTTGAAGAAAAGGAAGTACAAGACTACGCAGATGAGCTCCGGAATGGCTTGATGAAAACTCATGAGACTGCTCGGAAAAGATTGAAATTAGCAAGTGACAAAATGAAGGCACGGTACGATCTCAAAGCCAATTCAGAGGGATTCTTTGAAGGAGATCGAGTTTGGCTGTATAATCCTCGACGAAAGAAAGGCGTATCACCCAAATTAACACCATCTTGGGAAGGACCGTATAAGGTGTTGAAAAGGATCAATGATGTGGTCTACAGAATCCAACGCAGCCCTAGGACAAAGATGAAAGTCGTTCATCTTGAAAGACTGAAGCGCTATCATGGTGAGGAGAGTTCTGTTTTTGATCGGGACGATCAAGTTTGAAGAAGGGGGTAAATGTTACGACCCTGGCAATCGATCCCAGCTACCTGGGGAATGTAAACAAGCCATATTTCTTGGAATAGTAATTAGGTGATTCGACGGCTATTGAGATGACTCGAGAAGATTATCGACCTGTTCACGATATTTCGAGTGGAATCTAGACGTTTTATTAGGTAGTATAAATAGTTGTTGTTAGGGACAGGAAGGGAAGTCTTTATTTGGAAGCGTTATAATAACGATCGAAGAAGTGTTGTGAATCGGAAGTATTTAGTACGAGTATTGTAATTATTGTATAGTAGTGTTCAGAATAAATTATTTCAAGTGTTATACCGAGTGTTAAGTTATTACGGACCCAGAGTAAAATCGTAACAATATATTATAAATGGGAACTATAGGTACTCAACTTAAAATTCTCTACGTACAAACTTATAATGAATCAAATATACATTTTCCTCAATAAAATGATGAAATTCCTCATTGAAGAATACTTAGTATGAATCCAGAAATACCTTTTTGAGCAGTATGATTATTTTTTCTCATCATTTATATAACCTCTAATTATAACAACAACAACAAGAGCTCAATCCAGTGCCCGATCAGAAGCTTCAACTACTTCGCGAACTACCTCAGTGAGCTGGTTTGTGTGGTTGGGTAACTATTACGTCATAGTTTGAAAGACACAACGAGGACAATTGACTGGTTAGCTTATTGTTAACCCAGTTCGTGTGGTAAACTTCTAGGAAAAATGGCTGATATGTTGATTGTAAATAAATTCGTCAATCATTTTCTTTCTTTGATGAAACATACTGTTTCTCCAAATCATTCCCTAAAGTGTTTCTTATCTTATATCTGATTATATTCAATTCGATTCTATCGAGTGTTATCAGTGAAAAAGTAATGATTGAGAATTGTTAATCTAGTGGAAATTTGAATAAACAGCGTTCAGGTATTGAAGTAATGAGTTGATGGCTAATAAGTATCATTCTTGTTGGAAAATACATCCGTTATTGCTGTTGGAAATATTCATTCACGAATGAATGGAATGAAAGGAAGTAGACCAGTTGCTACAAGATCTTTTTTTTACGTTTTTTTTACGTATGGCTTCTGTACAGATTCGAACTAAATATTCAAAGTCTGAGGACAAATTGAATGATTCAGTGATTTTTTAAAACCAAATCATGATGCTTTCATCATCAAATCAGATGAAATAAAATTCTACTCAGAGTAGTGACTGTCAATAATTTAGTTGGTTATAATTATTTTTGTTACTTTGATGACTTGGACAATAACAGTGGAATGTTGACAGTTCAAAAAAACTCGTATTTTTCATATTTTGGGCTTAGTCTTCAATTCGTATATAATGAATAAGCATCGCATTATCTCATTTTCAACGATAGATTACGAATCGTAATATTAACAAATTATCAACGTTAAAAGAGATTATTCTCAGTTGAATTATAAACAAGGAAAAATGGATTTATATACAGTGAGGACGTATGAAGTCCTCCCCGCCTTTAACCGTTGAACGGAACATACAGGGTGATTCAAAAGTAAGCGGCATCCTTTCAGAGGCGTATTCCTTGCTTGAAAATAAGGCAAAAAGTTCCTATTGATAAGGATCCGAAAATGCTTCCTAAGGGAGCTACGGCCCTTTGAATAGGACACCTCAAAGACGGTTTTTTTCTCTATAACTTTAAAATCCTTCACAACAAATTTTTAAAAATTGGTGTACGGCATAAACATTCGATGGTAAATAGGACTCCGTATTCGAAATTTCAGAATTTCATTCAGGGGCGTGACATGCGGGAGAGGGTAAGTGTAAAAATATCCCTTCTTCTCCGGATATTCAGGTTACTGTGATTTCGTTTGGAAATTATTTCGAATACGGAGTCCTATTTACCATCGAATGTTTATGCCGTACACCAATTTTTAAAAATTTGTTGTGAAGGATTTTAAAGTTATAGAGAAAAAACCGTCTTTGAGGTGTCCTATTCAAAGGGCCGTAGCTCCCTTAGGAAGCATTTTCGGATCCTTATCAATAGGAACTTTTTGCCTTATTTTCATGCAAGGAATACGCCTCTGAAAGGATGCCGCTTACTTTTGAATCACCCTGTATAGCGAGATCGGGTATAATTCAGGCAAAAAGGTACCTCTTTCACTACTATTTGGCATGAAAATGGTTGTGGTCACGTGACCTAGTGTCAAGTGGGCACCACCAACTTTTTTTTCAGATAAAGAGAGAGGCACGTGGTACCTTGTTCTGAAGGCCTTTCGATTCTATATCCGCTTTGTTTGTGCAAATCGGTCAGAGATATTTAAGAATAGTAATAAAGTAATGAATAAGGATACGACTTTTCACGTGGATAAAAAGAACTCTAAGAGAATCCCAAGTATATGAAGGGACTTGATAAGGTTTTAAAAGACTTAGGTTTTGAAAGCGTTTATCAGTCTGGGTCAAAATTAGGCGATTTATTAGACAATCCGAGAGATGAAGTGGACACACTCGAAAAGGCGGGAATATACGGAATAAGTTGTAATGATTGTGTTGAAACATATATAGGACAAACCAAGCGACCCATAAAAACAAGGTTCAAAGAACACATAGCACACTTGAAATATGGTAGGTTAGATGAATCGTGTGTAGCCGAACAAATGTTCGATAACAATCATAATACACATATTACTAACCTCAAATTAGTTAAGTTAGTTTATAATATTAGAAAATCAGACGCATATGAAAGCTCACAGATATCAAAGAATAGTATGATTAATAAGGATGATGGACCTATTCCATGTAACCGTCTATATAGTTCAGTTATATAAAAATCAAGATCAATTTGTGAACTCAACCATCACAAACATTAATTTGACGGTTAGTATTTTACACGGTTGGGTGGACATATTCCTAGTAAATGAGCAGCACACTAGAATAGGATATTTGGTTTTGATCTTCTCCTGAAGATGCTAACATAGTAAGCGAAACACGTGCGAAACAGGTGTTTAAAAAAATCGGTTTGGTTAGTGGTAAAACAATGTAGTGTATTTTCTTGGTTCAATTTATTTCAAATGGGTTCACCAACCGTACAAAGCAGCTAATTAATCTATAAAATATCATATAGTTTTTTCGGTGTGATTAGCCCACACGATGTATGTATATCGGAGATCAAAGTAGGCGTGAATCAAGTGATTGTAGAACCTGAACAGGTGAGGAAGGATGATGAAATGCCTTACACCAAGGTTATTTATATCATTTGCGTGATATACTATGAGTTAACTAGGTCCACTTGAAGATTTCATAAATATTACTCACGTCATACTTAAACATAATATTGTTGCTCCAACAATCCCCATGCATGAGTGCTAGGTTTTTTCCTCTATAATTCGAAGTTTCCTTGAGAATATCTGACCCCTTTTCAGCGTACACCTTGAATTTCTCATACATTTCTATGTCACTTTCTCTGTTGAAGGAGGATAAAACGTTTCGGCAACATTGGTTTACGAGTCGCTTGTAAAAACGCAAGTCCACTAACCCTTGTGAGTTATCAACCAGAGGCTCAGTGATTTTCTGGAAAATTTCTGGATCCAATTTCCGGAAGGCCATAGACAGCGCGTGGAATTGCCCGTAGTTCCTCAAAATATACTCTAGATGTTTTTTCTCGAAACAATCGGTTTTGTTATGGTTGCGAAAACCTTGGGTTTTCAGGTTTTCTAAAATTAATTTCTCAGCGCCTTTTCTTGCATCAATAGCATAGTGTCTGGAGATTTTTGAAAACTTTTTGGCATCTGGGAAATTGTCTTGAAATTTCTTGAATGCTGGCCATATAGTGTCGTAAAACCAAAGTTCATTGTGGAAAACGTTACTCACGAATTTGAAGGAAACATCGGTTCCACTGGCCAACGCTTGCTTGATTGCGAGGTGGAGGATCTCTTCTGTTTTTTTGTTGGTTAAGGAGAGAAAAATGAAGTCTCCCAAGAATCCTTCACCTTTTTTGTTTCCTTCATGAATTTCTACATGGAAATTGTCAAGATTCTCTGCGACTGATTTTTTCAAACATTCTCGAATTTCCACAGGTATTTCGCTCATCATTTGATTAATTATATAATATCAGATAATTCGTTGGACACTGATGAAATCTGTGTGATTGATGATTAGAAGTACAAATCTTCTATTTGTTTTATCATAAATAATGTTTTCTGTGAATGATAGGCACAGATAACAGTACACTTTTATAAAAAATTCAACCGTGTATAGAAACAAATTATCACTTTTCATCAATTCATACCGATTATATACACTGAACTTATATATCGTGAGGTTCTGTGTTTCATTAAGACGCATTTCATAGGTTAGGTACTTATTATAATGGAATGTTTCCTAAAATTATTCCAAGGCCAAACCCGCAACAATATCAGTAGTTGATTTGATATTTGTGTTATTATGATATTGCAAGTTATTTTCATCAGATTATAATTTTGAGCGTGAACTCATGTGCTCAAAGACTTTGGTGACCATGCAATATTCACCTTTCCAAAAAGACTCAGCTCTTTTTTTATTTGAATGCTTTGAAACAGTTTCGATATGGCGATAACTTATTCAGAATCGGATGCAAATAAATAAACGTGATTATCCCGAACATAATATTTACATATTAAATTGTTTCTGCAGGTTTGTTTGGTAAGTGGTTAGGTGAAAATAGGCACAAATCATTCATTGCACCTGGGACGATCAATTCTCACAGATAGTCATACAATTTTCAGCTACCTGAATCTTCAAAATTAATGAAGATCTAGAAATTATTATAGTATTTCCAAGTGCAGATCGAGAAATATCTATATACTGTCTGAAGGATATATAGACTTAATGGTTCATTTCAAAATGTTCAATAATTCATAATATGTTTCGGAACTATAGGTATTATGAATTAATATTTTGCTAAGTAAACAGGATGATGCTTAACTTATACGCACAAACATATTTATATATACACACAAAATGGTTGCTCATTATTGTATTTCAGTAATATAGTGTGAACAATTTCACACCTAACATATTTGAACAATCAGAAGCCTGTATTCTGTATCGTTACCACGGCAACCAAACAAATTTCTGGGAATGTTTTCCTTCTAATCATTAGGGAGAGGAACTTGGAATGGGAATGGAAAATTCTTGACGTCACAGTGGTCACGCTCCAAATTCTTTTTTCTACTCACATGACTAAAATGGCATTTAGCGTACGGATATGTACCACGCTAAATGACCGATTAATCACGGATTGTCGATTTGTGATTTATTCAAAATATTAAACACGATACCATGGCAACACGATTTCTCACACATTACCATGGCATAGCATGACAGCTTCAGCAATTTGAGACATGTCTGGCCTGTCAGTTGTATTGACTGTCAACTATTATTTTCAAATTTTGTATCAGAATTCTTCTTAAAAATATATGCGGGAAGTAGACGAAAGTGAAATCGAAGAGAATGTTCTGGTACTTGCATATCTCCAAGAAGTGTAAAAATGAAGCATCCATCTTTGAGAACAATTCATTTATTCTGTGCTAAGCATGACAATGAACGTGAAACAAAGGTTAGTAAGCAATGGACTGAACACATCTACAACCAATATCACTTATACGTGTCTCGCTGGTTGCATGCAGTTGCATGTATTATGTTCTCAAGTCCCATTCCTTTCGAATTATTGTGTAGGTTAGCAAGAATAGCAGGTATGTTGATGTAATTTTCAGAGTTCGTAGAAAAAGCATAGTATGTAAAGTGTTTATAAACTCTTCTAGACACTCGTTTATTAAACACTCGCTCCGCTCTGCTCCGCTCGTGCTTAAAATACTCGTTACTAAAAGGAAGTTCATAACACTTGTTACATTATATACTATTTTCTACTCACATAACTAAAATGGCATTAAGCGTACGGATATGTACCACGCTAAATGATCGATTAATCACGGATTGAAGATATGTGAATTATTCAAAATATTAAACACGTTACCATGGCAAGACGATTTCTTAAACACATTACCATGGCAATACCGTTCATGAGACACAGCTTCAGTAATTTGGGACATGTCTGGCCTGTCAATTGTATTAACTCTGTCAACTGTTCTCAATTCCCATTCCTTTCGAATTATTTTGTAGGTTAGCAGGAATAGCAGGTTTGGTAACGTAATTTTCGGAGTTCGTAGAAAAAGCATAGTATGTAACGCGTTTATAAACTCTTCTAGACACTCGTTTATTACAATCGTTCCGCTCGTGCTCAAAATACTTGTTACTGAAAGGACGTTTATAACACTTGTTACATACTATAAAATTTCCTACTCATATTGACTAGAATGGCATTTAGCGTTATTGTGTAGGTTAGCAAGATACAAGGAATTTGTATTTCGATAATCAATACACTTCGTTGTATTACATACATGAAGATAATGTATCCCCACCCGCATTGGTACATTGGTGTTGATTGTATGAATCATAAAAATAGTCTATAATCTGCCTAGGAGGATTCGCAACAGGAAACCGAGTACAGGAGAAGATATGTAGCCCATAAAGTTCATACAAACATAAAAGTGTAAAACTACAATAAAGTAACACAATCCACTTGCGAATAACTGTGACATTCTCGACCATTTGAGGGTATTACGATACCATTCATAACCCTCTTATATGCGAGGAAAAATCTGAAGTTTAACGTTATTTATGACAGCGAAAATCTCCGCAGTTTATGATTCTTCCTCCGGAGTACATACAAACTGATGTGAACTGTAGGGTACATTACTGCTGCGTGATAAGATAAGCGGGCTATACTGTTAATTTAAATCTCCATTTAGATAATAGTTTGATGTAGGGTGCGTATCTTGCGCAAATATTACAGTAGATATAACAGGGTGTCGCAAAAACACACCACATATTTCTCAGACCAGAAGAATTCCCTATACGAGCAAACTTACCTCAGTATAATGTTACTCAGTTTGGGTGCTATACATAAAAGTAGGCAATATTTTTTCATCAACTCAAAAACAATATCAATTTGATTTTGAACACCTTGTGTTTAATAATGATGGAAATCGGTACAGGTATGTCCCAAGTGATCCTGATTCATCTTTTTCTTTCGAGTGAAGAATTATCAGGACGAAAAATTCATTATTCCAAATTTTTTGGGATTTTCTCTCCTCGTTTCTATAAAATAAAAATATGAATATTATTTCAATATACGTGTAGTAAGGACAAATCAACTGATTTTCCCCAAAATGTCACTGCGTTTAAAGAATTTTCCTATCAGAGAGCCTAAAAGAAAAATTCACTAGCTTGTCAGTGACAATTTGTATTGAAAAATTTTTGGAGAAGAGAAATAAAGGTATATAGAAAAATATCAAATTTTCACTTATCTTTGGACGTTTCGGGACCGATTCTGCTCCCGTTTTCAACATGAAGAGATTTTTTCAATTGCGAAGTCGTATTATATGTCTTGAAGCTTTGCAGTTTTCAATGACAATTGGTGACGTTGGCAATCAAAGGAGTTACAGGATGTTTTTATTAATTGATCTTGAATTCACCATTTTCATGTTCAGATTTTAGTAGTGAATACCATGTTCTGTCTATATCAACTGAACAAGAAGCAATGCTATTGTCTACGTTCAGAAGAATGCAAGCAGATTCCTTGATTTTTCACTTCTGGTTGTTATCTTCTTTTCCAATGATTTCAATATTATTCCACTCTGCCATATGTTGTCCGTCTTCAGTAGGGATATGTTCGGCTAGTTTCGATTTATCGATGTTTCTTTTCTTTATATTGTACTTATGTTCCTTCGTCCTTACTGAAAGAGGTCTCTTGGTTCCACCTGTATAAAACTTTCCACAAACACAAGGTATACTGTAAATACAATTTTTTGACGATTGTTCTTCATTTTTCGGCTTTGTTTGAGTTAGAATTGATCTCATTGTATTTTCAGTTATTCTTACCTTATTGTAAATAAAATACAATGAGATCAATTCTAACTCAAACAAAGCCGAAAAATGAAGAACAATCGTCAAAAAATTGTATTCACAGTATACCTTGTGTTTGTGGAAAGTTTCATACAGGTGAAACCAAGAGACCTCTTTCAGTAAGGACGAAGGAACATAAGTACAATATAAAGAAAAGAAACATCGATAAATCGAAACTAGCTGAACATATCCTTACTGAAGACGGACAACATATGACAGAGTGGAATAATATTAAAATCATTGGGAAAGAAGATAACAACCAGAAGAGAAAAATCAAGGAATCTGCTTGCATTCTTCTGAACGGAGACAATAGCATTGCTTCTTGTTCAGTTGATATATACACAACATGGTATTCACTACTAAAATCTGAACATGAAAATGGTAAATTCAAGATCAATTAATGAGAACATCCTGTAACTCCTTTGATTGCCAACGTCACCAATTGTCATTGATAACTGCAAAGCTTCAAGACATATAATACGACTATGCAATTGAAAAAAATCTCTTTATGTTGAAAACGGGAGCAGAATCGGTCCCGAAAGGTCCAAAGATAAGTGAAAATTTGATATTTTTTCTATATACCTTCATTTCTTTTCTCCAAAAATTTTTCAATACAAATTGTCACTGACAAGCTAGTGAATTTTTCTTTTAGGCTCTCTGATAGGAAAATTCTTTAAACGCAGTGACATTTTGGGGCAAATCATTTGATTTGTCCTTACTACACGTATATTGAAATAATATTTATATTTTTATTTTATAGAAACGAGGAGAGAAAATCCCAAAATATTTGGAATAATGAATGTACCACCTCCTCGATTAACCTACAGACAGTATTTAGGACGAAAAATATTGCTTACCTATCTTTTTTAATTTTTTTCTCAGACACATTGTATATCAAAATGACGATAATTGGTACAGGTATATTTGAAATAATCCTCAATGATAATTTTTGATTATTTCTTTCTAGAAAAACCACAGAACTACATTTGCTGATCACCTATTTGAGGAAAATGGTGATTCGTTTTTCCGGACACCCTGTGTTTAATGATGATGAAAATTGGTACAGGTATATTTCAAGTGGTACTGATTCAGAATACATCATCGACTTTCGTGGAAAAAAATAGTACTTTCTGGAATATGGGTCATTGAAATTTGCCGCAGTTGGCCACGATAACTGTCCAAGAATTAGATCACTCTCTCGTTGGATGGGCATTTCAAATACCTATCCAAAAAAAAAAAGGTGTTTTGAAATTGGTCGGATAATTTGTACGTAAATTTTGACGCGTTGTCACGTTGGTGCCCGTTGGGGCCAAGAAT